TTTCTGGTTCCATGCACACCGTCCAATTCTACTGGGCCTCTGTTCCAGCCACGCCTTCAGCTACCTGCACCCAGTGCTCAAGAATTATTGATTCCACACCAATGTCACTGCTCACCCTCGCGCTCCTTTTGAGAGGCTGATTTATGCCTCTAACAAAGTTGTGTTTTTTTTTTGCCATCTGTTCCAGCGTCTCCTGTTTGCTGGCAGCCAGTATTTAGTTGGACTCTTACCCTCCTGTCGGCGGCGCTACATAAAGGCGGGCTGTTGCCCACACGGGGTAATTTGGAGTCCTATTTCTGGAGAAACCCCAGCAGAGCCTCCCACCCCCACTCCCCCTCGCCCCATGCAGGGGCTGAAGACGGTGTGCCAGCTGTCTGTTGGTGCCGTTTATCAGGGCAGGAACCTGGGCACAGCCACAGGACCACAGCAGGAGTTAGTGAAGGTGTGTGCGGTGTAGGGTGAACTAGGCACAGTGGGCCTCAGCGCCGTCTTCTGACGGTGGGAAACCCACCTGCTGGAGCAGGGAGCACGGTGTTGTGGGGGGTGGGGTGGGGGACCAGGCCCTGAGTGAACATGCAGGCTTGATAACCATTAACAGGTGCACGCAACCGCTTCCTGTGCAGGGAGGCAGTGAGGTGTGCCCAGCCGCCTCTGGCAAGCTGTGTAACATTTCCAACCCATCGCAGTCACTCCGTCGATGCAGTGCCCCTTCGGTTTTACAGGCTGTTATCTGGGCGTTGGTGAATCACAGCATTTACTGTCTGCCTTGGAATTTGAGCCCTTGCCCTCCATGCTCAAGGTGACAGTGTGGCCAGTGGAACCGCCCTAATGAGGCTTGTACCGTTGCCAACAGTAATCAGGGAGTTACACATAATGGCAATGTGAGGATTAGGCAGCAGAGCCGGAGGCCACTTGGCCTGTCCTGCTGTGCTGGCTGTTTGAAGCAACGGTCCCATCGTTTCCTGCCCTCTTTCCCCAAATCCCTGTAAATTTCTCCCTTTCGATTGTTTCTCAAAGCCTCTTTTTGATTATCTGTTTCCTCTGCCCTTTTCAGGAAGAATTCAACAACCTGCTGTCTTTTATCTGCTTCCTGTTGTCCTTTTGACAATTATCTTCAATCTCTGACCCTCGGGTTCCTGAACACAGCCCCACCCAGCTTTAAATTGTTTTCTATCTCTCCCTATGCCTCCTGCTCTCTATACTCCCTACCCCCAACTCCAAGGCCAATATATCCTGGACTTAGACTTTTCTTACTCATGTCATTAAAGCCTCTTCATGATTTTGAACCCTACTGTTAAATCCCTCTCTTTTTACCTTCTCTTTGTAACAATACACGTCTCTCATCCCAGTCCCATTCTGATAAAGCTCCCTCTGTCTCCCCTCACTAAAGCTTTCCTGCAGTTGAAGCCTAGCTAATTTTTTAATATAAAGCCTTAAAACATCAAACTTTCCAGCACAGGAACGGGCCCTTCAGCCCATGATGTGCCAAACATGAGGCCAAATTAAATTAATCCCTTCTGCCTGCCCTTGGTCCATATCCCTCCATTCCTTGCTTATTCAAGTGTTTTTCTAAAAGTCCCTGAAATGCCCCTATCGTATCTGCCTCCACCACCACCACCCCGGCAGTGCATTCCCCACACCTACTGCTCTATCTGTTTAAAAATACTCACCCCTCACATCTCTTTAAACTTCCCCCTCTCACCTTAAATGCATGCCCCTTGTTATAGACATTTCAACTCTGGGAAGAAGATTCTGACCGTCAACCCTATCTATGCATCTCATAATTTTATAGTCTTCAATCAAGTCTCCCCTCAGCCTCTGCTGCTCCAGAGAAAACAACCCGAGTTTTTCTAGCTTCTCCTTATAGCTCATACCCTCTAATCCAGACAGCATCCTGGTAAACCTCTTCTGCACCCTCTCCAAAGCTTCCACATCCTCCCTGTAATGTGGCGACCAGAACTGAACACAATACCCTAAGTGTGGCCTAAGCAAAGCCTTATAAAGCTGCAACATGACGTCTTGATCCTTGTACTCAATTCCCCGACCAATACAGGGAAGCATGCCGCACGCCTTCCTTACCACCCTATTTACTCACATGGCTGCTTTCAGGGAGCTATGGACTTGAACCCCAAGATCCCTCTGTAAATCAATGCTGCTCAGGGTCCTGCAATTAACTGCAACTTCCCTGCTTTTGGCCTCCATGCTGTACAAATGGAATGAAGAATAACGTTTTTCAAAAATATATTGTGTCTATAAAATTTAAGAAAAATTACAAAAATATTTCAACTTGTATCGTACAATATTTGCAATTGAGTCACGGAAACAGACCCTTCGGTCTAACCAGTCTGTGCTGACCACATTCCCAAACTAAACTAGTCCCACCTGCCTGCATTTGGCCCATATCCCTCCAAACCTTTCCTATGCATGAACTTATCCAGATATCTTTTAAATGTTGTAACTGTACTCACATCCACAACTTCCTCTAAAAGTCCATGCCACACACAAACCACTCTCTGTGTAAAACAGTTGCCCCTCATGTCCTTCCTAAATCTTTCTCCTCTCGCCTTGAAAATATACCCCCTAATTTTGAACTCCCCCACCCTAGGGACAAGACCCTTGCCATTCACCTTATCCATGCCCATCATGATTTTATAAACCTCAATAAGGTCACCCCTCACCCTCCTACGCTCCAGTGAAAAAAGTCCCAGCCTTTCCTGTCTATTTTTATATCTCAAACCCTCCAGTCCTGGCAACATCCTGGTGAATCTTTTCTGAACTCTATTCAGTTTAATAACATCCTTCCTCTAGCAGGGTGACCAGAATTGTACATTGTACTCCAGAAGAGGCCTCACCAATGTCCTGTAGTATTCAACTTGTTCCGCTCAATGATTGTAATGGACATTAATATTGACAGAATCTGTTAGCTATACAGCCTGAGGGGGAAAACAATTCAAGCAGAGCCAAAGGGGAATGTTTTACTCTAACCACCATTTCATTTTCTGATGTGCCTTACAAATGCCTTTAACACTCCTGTTTCACAGTAGAGATAACAAAGTATAGAGCTGGAGTAACACAGCAGGCCCAGCAGCATCAGACCAGCAGGAAAGCTGACGTTTCGGGATATTCTTTGTAAAGCACATGGCCCATGGACCTTGACGCAGTTCCCAGGCCTAGGCTGAAAGGTCTTGGTAGTGGCCCTTTCCCCACTGCCCCAAGCTGTAGTGTGTGGCTCAGCACGTAGGCCTGGAACCTGTCCCATCCTGTCTTGTGCCTTTCCCTGCCCCTGCGCCTCTTTAGTTCCTTCCAGCTTGCTTTGTATCGAGCCTTGGTCAGTGAGTCAGTGGGGTGGGGTGGGGGGGGGGGGGGGGGGGGGGGTGGTGGTGGGGGAGGGGTAGAAGCCCCAGTGTGACACCAGTTTCTGCAAAGTCAGGCGATCAAAGGCCCAACCTGTTGCATATGCACAAAGTCCACTGTGCCTCAGGTCGGGCTGACACAGCAGTTGTCACCCAGGTTAGAATAAACACTCGAGTCAAGCCCACAACAAGCCCCATCCACCCCCCACCCTCCAAACTGCCCAGCACCTTTGTGAACAAATCGTTCTGTAATGAGGAGAGGGGAGGGGCTGTCACCTGGCGCTGTGGACTAGACTGAGGGTCTTCACGTCATGGAGTCGTCCTTCCCCTTCTGTCCCACCCACCCCACCTTGTCAGGGAGTAACATCGAATGCACTGGCCTCTCTCCACCAAAATGTCTGTGTTATTTTGTGGGGGACAGGGTGGTGGAGGTGGGGGTTGAGGGGGGAGGTGGTGGGTGCGAGGCGAGGTGAGGAGAGGTGGGTGGGTGTAGATTTACAATGTCAGCCTGATGCAGCGGGTAAAGGAGAGGGAAGAGTGGAGGGCAGGGAGTTAAATTGGCCAGTGCTGGAGGAGAACTATAAAGGTGAGGACGTTCATTGGTATAGCACCTCTCAGGTGCTTTGCTGCCAATCTTCAATGCGAGAGAGTCTGTGTTTGCACCAGTCGGGTCCCACAACTCTGTGAGAGAATAACCCTGCTCCTGCCTGACGTTTGTCGATAGATGGGTTTTGACCTCAGGACCCTGAGGAGAACACTTCCCTGTTCGCCTTCACCTTGGATCTTTCAGGCCCACTGGAGACTGCAGCTCTGGCATTGTTTTAACAGCTCAACTGAAACTGACCCCAACCCCAGGCAGTGCTGCATTGTCTCCGTGCCAGCCTGGAATGTGTGCCTGTCTCTATGGGCCTGGGTTGAACCCTCTGAGCAGGTAGGTGTGTCACCCAGTAGGCATAGTTGACAGTGCCTCAGGTGACGGGAATGACCAAAAGTTTAGTCCTCCACACTGGACTATTTTGGTTTGAAAAAATAAGGGAAGCTTTGCATTTATATAGTGCCTTTCTGACCTACCCAGCACCTCAAGCACTTTTACAATCAGTGAAGTATTTTTGTGTTGTGACTGATGTGTTGCATATTGACCTGTAGGGGCAGTGTTTTGTTCTTGGGATTGCCGAACCAAGGGTCCCAGTCTAAAGACACGGGAGACCATTTAGGACTGAGATGGGGAGAAATGTCTTCACCCAGAAAGCTGGGAACCTGTGGAGTTCTCTGCCGCAGAAGGAGGTTGAGGCTAAAACGTTGAATGTTTTCAAGAAGGAGTTAGCTACAGTTCTTGGGGCTAAAGGGATCAGTGGGTGTGGGGAGAAAATGGGAACAGGGGACTTAGTTGGATGAACAGCCTTGATCGTGTTGAATGATGGAGCAGGCTTGAAGGGCCAAATGGCCTACTACTGCTCCTATTTTCTACATTTTCTAATTGTGATGCACTCTAGACAAAGTGGGCCTGTTGACCAGCAGTGCCGCAGATCCCCACCAGGGGCGCCGTACGTTCAGACGATCTGCTGTCCTTGCTGTATTTGAGAATGGCTGCCATTCCTGTCTCTCTAACTCCGTTGGGAATTCCTCTGCCTCCCCCCCGCCCCTCAGGTCGCCTGTCCATCTCCAGCAAGAAACTACGGCAGCGCGGTATCCTCCGCACAATCTTCTGCTGCCTCGCTCACGGTGAGGATGATGGTGAGCAGGCTCTCGGCAACAGAAACAACAACACATCGCAGTTACCCAGCAGCAAGAACAGCACCACCCAGGTAAGGGGAGGGGTGGGTGGGGGTGTGCGGCCACCCCTGGGGGGGGGGGGGGGGTGGTGGGTGCGAATTGTTTAGTGAGCTACTCACTCGATCCCACAGGCTCAGATACAACTGAATTCAAACCCTCTGAGGGACTGGGTAGGAGGTGGGGAGGAGATTGTGGGTGGACAGGAAGAGGGCCGTGGGTGGAGGCACCTGTGGAGTGCGGGGAGCGAGAGGGAGAGTGGGAAAGGGGAACGGGTAGGACGGCAATGGAGGGGCGAGGGTTGGGGAGTCGGGGATGAGGGAGGGAGAGAAGCGGGAGGGGAAAGGAGATAAGGATGGGAGGGGGTGGGAGTACTCATGGAGCTGGGAACCAGTGGGGAGGTGGTGGGGGTTAAAGATATGAAGATCACTCTCCTTCCTACTTTGCAAGAAATCCCAGGGAACACAGCTCTGGAAAATCCATCCCTGACTCCCCACTGTGACTGAAACCCGGTCCCGGAGGTTACCTGGAGCAAGGGAGATCACCGTGGAAGTATTGAATTTTCAAGATGTTGTGAGCTGTACCCAGCCCCACATTCCCACAGCTCACTGCTCCCTGGAGAAAAGGCAGTGTTCCCAGACCATCCCGACTCTCTGAACGGTTATCCCTGTGACTCCTGGTTATCCTTAATCTGGCACAATCCTTCAACGTTCCCTGATGCCTTGAATTAGTGACTTGACCTCAGTGAGCTTGCCTCTGGCTGGGTCTGATGCAGAATAAATATTATCAAGCTAAGGAATTTAAATCATTCCCATATCCAGTGAGCCCTTCGAGTGACTCCATTCCCAGTGAGTTGGAATCAGGAGATTACTCACCGCTTTAAATATTGCAACTCCTTTTTCCCAGCTGGATGGGATGTTGGACAGAATGAGGGCCTGGGAAGGAAACCCCGTCTTGGTGGCTGTAATTACAGCAGGTAGGGGGTCAGAGTGTGAAGCAAGGAGCTTTAGATGGTCCCGAGTGATCGCAGTAACACGCTCATATTCCAAATCAACAGGGTTTTAAGTGTGTAAACAAGGGCAAACTGTTTGCAGGGGCATGAGGGTCAGTAACTAGAGGGGGCACAATTGAAAAAAATCACCAAAAGAACCCAAGGTTGTGAGGGATTGGGGGGAGACGAGGAGAAGTTTCTTTAGTTCGGGAGTTGTAGTGACCTGGGAGAGCAGAGGAAGCAGGTTCACCAGGAACTTCCAAATGGGAGAACAGAATACATTTCTGACAAGAAACAAGTAATTGCAATGGTTTGGGACAATTTGGAGAGCTCTGTGACAAAGCAAATGCAAGCATGTTGGCTGAATGGCCTGTTGTATGATAAATTTTTCCAAGCTTGAGTTGCTGGTTCTAATCGATGTTGACCTTTCGGTCTAGGTTCTGGGTATCAGCAACCAATTGGGAAGCTCCTGAGACCTTTTTAATTCAGGCAGAAGTAATCTTAAAACAGGGTAAGGCTAGGGGTTTACGGTGGAGGGCATAGCTGGCAGGTTGACCTGAGCTGGCTATGGTACTGGGCACTGCCTGGAGCCTGGGTCAGGAGGAGACAGTTTGAGAGTGGAGCCCTTCTTGGTTGAATAGAGAGATCGAACAGGGTGAGGGAAAGGAGGAATTGTGTCCAAAAAGTGGTAATCCTGAAGGTTTAGGAAACTCATGAGCATTGGAAATTTAACCCAGCTATCCAGGACGAATCAGGCAGTAATGTCAGAGTGTTCATCCATCAGTACACTCGTGCTGTATATGGACCAGGCTGGGGAAAATGCGAAGGCAACATGGGAACATAGAACTGTACTGCACAGGAACGGGCCCTTCGGCCCACAATGTTGTGCTGAACATGATGCCAAACTAACCTAATCCCTTCTGCCTGTATCTAAAAGGGAGTGGGGAAGATTTACTCTACACTGATATCCTACACAGTGCAGGGTGGTAGTATGCCAGTTATAAACCTGTCCATGCCCACCACACTGGCAGTGTTTGGCTCTCCAAGCTCAAAGACCATGACTCCAGTTCCTGATGGATGGGTGTTTCCCATCAGTGTGTGGCTATGGACAGGAGAAGTATCATTCCCTGAACGCAGGCCTTTCCACTTGTGTAACTCAGGCATGTACAGACATAATAGATTGGGGGAAGGGTGAACCACTGGAACTAATTATGGCAGATTCATGCCATTCCTTCATTCCAGCCCCTCTCCCCTTCTCCTTTAGTCCTAGCTTCCAGTCTCGTAATCATCCAAGGACTGAGAGCTCGCGGCCCTCGGAGAGAAGAGACACTCACCTCCCCACCTCCCACCCTGCCCCACCCCACCCCACCCCGACTTCAGTCTGAAATGGCCATGACCTCATCTGGAGATGTACCCAGGAGGAGGAAGGTGTAGGGGAGGGGGAAGAGAGGTGGATAGATTGAGGACCCCAGCATTTTTAAAATATTTGTTCACGGGATGAGCGCATTGCAAACTAGGCCAGCATTTATTGCCCATTCCTTATTGCCCCAGAGGGCAGTTAAGAATCAACCACATTGCTGTGGGATTGGAGTCACATGTAGGCCAGACCAGGTAAGGATGGCATCTTCCTTCCCTTAAGGACATTAGTGAACCAGATGGGTTTTTCCAACAATTGAGAATGGATTCGTGGTCATTAGACTCTTAATTTCAGATTTCTGTTTTTATTGAAATCAAATCCCACCATCTGCCGTGGCAGGATTCAAAGCCGGGTCCCCAGATCGTTACTAGAGTCTCTGGATTAATTAATAGCTGTCTTTTTAGACTGCTAGAGCTTGTCCAGTGAGTGTGTTGAGGATGGTGTGACCTGGGCGCAGTGTGGAAAGCGTGGATCTAATCCAAGGCAGCATAGCAGGGCAGAATGGCCTCCTCCTGCCCCTGGTCCCCCAGGTTATGGGTTAACACTGGAGAAACCTCATTCAAGTGACAAGTCAGTTATAGTGAGCTGCCTGAATCTACTGGGTGACTGGGGATCCCATTGCTCCCACCCCATCACTGACCTGTTCTCCTTTCCTCTGCCAGGAGGTGGCAGTGCTGATACATTGTCAATCAATGGTACAGCTCCTTGTTCAAAAACAAAATAGCAAGGCAAATGGCATGTAAGGAATGTAGGGCCTGCTGAGGGCAATCTCGAGGGGGTGGTGCAGGGGAAAGGAGGGGTGCGCATCATCTGAAAGCAGTGATAATCAGAAAGCTGAGCAGGAAATGTTGAAACCTCCTCCAAACTTTCCCCTTTAGCCCCTCTTGTTGTTTTTATTTAAAAAATGGTTGAATTGCACAGGCAGTGATCCCTCCTGGCCTGTTTGTTTACACTGCGCCGTTAGAAATATGTCCTTTTTGCAGATTATTTTTCAGTGTAGGAAGAACTGAGACTGTTCTGGTCGCTAAGCTTTACGTTAGATATAGACCCATCGTGAATGAAAAGTCTAGAGGAAGTGCTTTTTGATTAGTACCTTGACTGCTGGAGGAAGGAAAGGGCATCTCACAAGGAGATGGTTTTAGAACTGAGAGGTTCAATTACTTCACAGTGACAAAAAAAAACCCACAAACCTGGATAAAAGGTGTCCTGACAGGGCTCTTTAAGATCTGGCAGCATCCGTGGAGAGAGAGAGTTAACATTCCGAGTCGGCTATAACTTGTCTTTGGAATTGGTGGTTTGAGAGGGCAGCAATACAGATTTTTTGACTTGTGAAAGACTGGAAACTATCAGACGTCGATCTGAGAGAGTCTCTGCTAAATCCAACAGGGAGTCCAAGAGAAAATTGTTTACTCAGCTAGCAGTGAAACTGTGGGACCTGCTTCCACAGGGAGCTGTGGAGGTGGATGCATTTAAGAGGAAGATGGATAAACACGAGGGGGAGAGAAATAGAAGGACCCCTTGGAAAATCGGCATCAAATTTGGGCCATTCTCAGTTGTAAACAGCTTGCAGTCATGTGGTACATTTACTGCTGTAAACCAATGCCAAGAACGTCAAGCAATTAACACTGAGCCACATAATGAGGAGCTGACCCAAAGTTTAAGTGAGAGAGTAGTTTTATTTTGTAAACATTGTAGAAGAGGGAGAAATGGAGATGCTTAGGGACAGAATTCTAGAGGAGCAATTATAAGAACAAAGGAACAGGAATGGGCCTTCAGCCCCTCAAGCCTGTTCTGCCATTCAATAAGATCAGGGCTGATCTGTGGCCTAACTCCATCTGCCTGCCTTTGGCCCATATCCCTTAATACCTTTGCTTAACACAAATGTATCTCCCTCAGATTTAAAATTAACAACTGATCCAGCATTCACTGCCATTTATGGAGGAGAGTTCCAAACCTCTCCCTCCCTCTGTGTGTCGAAGTGCTTCCTAACATCTCTCTTGAACAGTCTGACCCTGATTCTCAGGCTATGCCCCTAGTTCTAGAATCCCCAAACAGTGGAAATAATTTATTTTTATCTACTTTGTCTTTCCTGTTAATAACTTAAAGACATTGATCAGATCACCCCTTAACCTTCTAAATGCCAGAGAAACAAGTCCTCATTTGTATAACCACTCCTCATAACCTACCCCTCATCCTTGTGAACCTGTGTTAAAACTGAGGGATGCTGGAAATTGGAAGGATCTTGGTGGGTGGTTGTGCTGGAGGGCATTGGATGAGGAATGGTAAGTCTACAGGGGGATTTTTTAACTTGCTTTCTTTCCTGACCTGAGGGAGACTGCTCTGGGTCTGCCGTCCCTGGTAGAGGGCTGGAGTCTCTTTGCGTGGTGTACACCTGGTATGGTTTTGCTACTGATAGCTTGCTGTATCGCATCCTTTAACATGTGAGCTTCAGCAGGGTGTGTGCCTATCTGTTCTTGTCTCTTCTTTTAACGCGTACAGACTCCTGTCAACCACCACCTTCTGCCGGAAGTGAAGGTTCAGGACAGTGGGAAGAAATGTGTTGTGATCGACCTCGATGAGACTTTAGTTCACAGTTCGTTTAAGGTATGTTAATGTTTCATTTTCTCCCCATTTCATCGTTTGTTTTTTTGTTTCCGCTGTCCACTCCTTCCTCCCCAGTACATTGACACCTTGTTACAGGTTGGGATCTGATACCTGGCTTAAGTGAAGAAAGTACATGGTGAGTGTAGGATGGCCTCCCAACAATACATGTCTGGAACAACGGATCCCAGTCTCCCTCCCAATGGGATTTTCTCTATTCTTTCATTTCTATTTTGCCCATTCCTAACTGCCCTTGAACTGAATGGCTTGCTGGGTCATTCCAGAGACTGGTTGAGAGCCGACTATGTGGAGTGTTGCCAGATGGGTAAGGATGATAGCATACCTTCTCCAAAGGAGCACTTGTGGATTTTTATTTAAAACAACAGTCTGTTAGCTTTTTAATACAGTTCGTTGAATTTAAATTTCACCAGCAACTGTGGTGGGGTTTGTAGCCACGTCCCTTGAGCATTAGCCTGGGCCTGCGGATGACTAGCCCTGTGACATTACCGCTGCTCTATCATCCTCGTGCCTTGGGCCATGTCTGAGTGAGTTGTGTTTGATCACTTACGGGAATCATTGGGAGGCAATGGCCTAGTGGTATAATCATTGCCCTGTTAATCCAGAGACCCAGATAATGTTCAGGGGACCCGGGTTCAAATCCTGCCACGGCAGATGGTGGAATTTGAATTCTATAAAATATCTGGAATTAAGAATCTAAAGAAGACTGTGAATCCATTGCTGATTGTCGGGAAAACCCATCTGGTTCACTAACGTCCTTTACGGAAGGAAGCTGCCACCTTTACCTGGTCTGGCGTACATGTGACTCCAGACCCACAGCAATGTGGTTGACTCTCAACTGCCCTCTGGGCAATTAGGGATGGGCAACAAATGCTGCCTGGTCAGTGACCCCCTCATCCCATTAATGAATAAATAAAAAAAAAACTTCCCCCTGTGGTCAGTCAGGTTTCCTGACCATTTCTGTGCACGGCTGAGTCTCAGAAAGTTTCTGAGTTGTTGGTCACTTGGTCATTCCAGGGTGGGTGACCCTGCGATGATAACAATCCCGTCCTATCCTACAAACTAAGAATGAGGAGGCAGTGATAAAATATTAGTTATTCGACCCCAGTCCCCATTCTTTCCTGGTTGTTGGTGCTGCTGGAGGGGTGGGGAGATTGCAGAGTTGAATGACTCTTATTTTATCAACATCTCCCAACTCTTCGTTCAAGTTGGGCAGTTGTAACCCCTCCAGTTTGGGCCTCTTGCCCATCTCCTGATTCCCATCATACTACCATTGGCAGCCACACCTTCAGCTTCCTGATCCCCAGGCTCTGGAATTCCTTCTCCAAAGCCGCCTCTCCCACTCCTTGTTAAAGGGAGAGCTAGTGTAACTCAGTGAGTGTGGGTGGGGAGGGCATCATTGCTTCTTCCATGCCCCGATACATGGGCTGCAGGGTACCTGAAATGCTGTGAATATGGAATTTCCACTACTTCTGGTTTTACTTGTTAGAGGAGGTTTAATCTCATTCTGCACCCCGCCTCCCACCCCCACCTAACTGAACAGCTTCCCTCATTTTTATAAACAGGCTGTCGAAGAAAAGGGCACCCAGTGTCTCTTTCCCCTCAGTTTTACTCAATGTATCATCAAGGAAATCAATTTCTAATCCCTGGAGTGGACTTTCCAGGCCAATCCTCACTACATCTCCCTTCCCCAAAACCAAAAAAATGAGTTTGCATTTCCGTAGCACCTTTTTTACATGCTCAGGCTGACATAAAGACTTTACTTCATAGTGCTTTATTTGACAGTATGATCATTTTTATTTAGAAAACTCAGCACATTAATCTGGATCCAAGACAGTCAGTGAGACAGAAATTTATTGTATTTATTGGATGTAATTTATTGACTACCCAGTCTTTCAGCTCCTTTTGCAACCCATATTAATTATAATGTTTTAAAATTTAATCTATTTTTCTAATCAACCTGTTCAGAGATGTAATTACACACCTCTGGAACCGGTGGGATTTGAACCTGGGTCTTTCAGTTCAGGGGTAGGGACACTACCACTGCACCACAAGAGGGTCCCCAGAGGTGTATAATACCTGTGTGTATTTAACTGGTACCATCTGTCTCTTTTTAAGTAATTATAGACATTATTGAGCTTCACATTGTAATTGACCAGACATTAATGTTCCAGTCACAAGCTTCCTCGAGTCTCAAAGTAATAAAGACCAGGTCATCTGTTCATTTCCACATGTTGGTTGAAGGATAAATATTGGTCGGATCACTAGGGAGAAATGCCCTGCTCTTTGAAATAATGACCAGGCCAAATAACGTATATTGAATAAGACTTAGTTGGGGCTTGTTTTAGATTGTCATCTGAGATTTGACATCCCTGGAAGTGCAGCACTCCCTCAGTATGGCCCTGGGAGTAGCAGCTTGTATCACTGGGCTTGTGGGACTCTGAGGAGGGCCTTGAGATTGCAGAGCTGCGCAGTGCAGAGGGATTTGGGTGACCTGGGACATGAATCTCTCAAAGGTACTCTGCAGATACAGCAAGTGATTAGGAAGGCAAATGGAAAATAGAAGTAGGGAAGTTTTTCCCCAGCTGTGCAGGGCCTTGTGTAGGTCAGTTCTGGAGTACTATGTGCAGTTTGGGCTTTATTCAGAAAAAGATACAACTGCATTATGAGCAGAGGAAAGAAGATTCAGTTGACTCATTCAGGGCTTATCTTGTGAGGGAAGGTTTGAAGGCGTTAGATCCATTGGAGTTTTAAAGAGTGAAAGGTAATCTTATTGAAACATGTTAGATACTGAGGGGGCTTGACAGAGTCTGGCATGGGAGGATATTTCCTCTTTGTGTGGGAGACTAGAGGCAGGAGCATCATTTAAGAAGGATGTCCTCCGTTTTCAGACCGAAATGAGGACAAATGTTTTCTGTCGGGAATGTGGAATTCCCTTCCCTACTGAACAGTGGAGGCTGTGTGGTTGATTTAATTCAAAGCTCTGTTTGCTGGATATCTGATACAGAAAGGAGTGGAGAGTCTGGGCTGTGAAGAAAGTGGTTGTAGACACGGGAGTTGAGATCACAATCACAACTTGTTGAATAGGCTAGTGTAGAAGTCCAAAGTTTCAATAACCCTATCACCCTGTCGGAGTCAGGCAGATGTGTGACCAGTGACTACTCGGACTAAAGGGTCTGTTTCCATGCTGTATGACTCCATGATTGAGCCATGGCATACGGGGGCAGAGGGCTGGTGGTTTGGGGTAATGAGGGGCAGCCTGTTGTAAGATAATGCGGGGGGGTGGGGGAAAGAGTAATGGTTGGACACAGCTTCCTAATTCAATGCTGCCTTCCCCCCTCCCTCCCAACAGCCAGTCAGCAATGCAGACTTCATCATCCCCGTGGAGATCGATGGCAACGTACATCAGGTGAGAGTCTGTGATGTTACGGGATGGGATAATCGGCAAGATGGGCTCTTGCTCCTGGCGCAGGTGGGCAGCTGGACTGGCGACAGGAGTGTGATGGTTACAGATATTGATATCATCAGCCTGAGCAGTGTGATGGACATTGGTTTCAAATCCTGCCACAGGAGCGACCGTGAAACACTCAAATTGTCATTAAAGAAACTTTGTTTATTAATATCCCATTGCACGGGACCCCATGGTACCCGATCCCAGTGGATCTAGTCCCTTCTGTACCTGATCCCAGTGGATCTAACCTTTGCCCATGTACATGATGCCAATGGATCAAATTTCTTCAGTTTCACTGCTGATGTATCCACTGTCCTTGACCCCTCACTACTGGGTGATGCTACCATCCCATGACCCACTCTGGTAAAGCTGCTCTGGAGGGTCTTCAATGCTGCTTCAAATATGGGAAGAAAACTGCAGACACTTTCCGAGGTGTGGTCTCATGGAAGCCTGTGTACGATTGGTGCAATATTTCTTTATTCATCTTCTCCAATGCCTTTACAATAAAGGCCATTATCGTAGAACATATTCTCTTGTTTTATTAACATTGCTCGCTGGTTTCTTGAGTTCCTTACGCAAGTGCAGTCTGAATATCGGCATTTACAAATTTCTCACCATTAACAAAAAAATTCTGCTTTTTTTAAATTCATACTACCAAAGCGATGAACCTCTCCTTCCCACAGACTGTAGTTCATTCTCCAACTTGTTGGCAACTTGATTAACCTGTGTGTGTATATGCTATCTCTCTCTGCAGCCTCTTTGTGTTCTCACTGTCTGGGTTTGTATTATCAGCAAACTGGGATATATTAGTCTCTGTCTCTTTGTCCAAATCTTGTCAAATGATAAACAGGTGAGGTCCCAGCACAGAACCTCGTGCATTTCATTGGTCACAACCTGCTGAATTGAAAATACATGTTTTATCCCATTCTGTTCTCGATGTGTTAACCATGCTAATATATTTCTCCAATTCCCTGCCTTTTGTAATAATAATTTACAGGGCATCATATTGAATGCCTTTTGTAAATCCAAGCATATTATATCAACTGGACCCTCTCTCACCTGTTTGACCATCAGCATCGGGAAAATACATGTCCAGGATGTTGCCCTGTCACTGACTATCAGCATTAACAATGAGATGGTGGAGGTTATTGATAGCTTTACACATCTAAGCTCCATGATCCTGAAACCAACTCGAGCACTAAGAAAGTTGCAGCTGTTAAGTCCAAGCTGAGCAAGAGAGTGTGGGATCGCAGCAAACTGACTGAGATCACCAAACTACAAGTTTACCAAACCTGTGTCTTCAGCTTACTCCTCAATGGTGTTGAGATCTAGAGAGCAAATTCTAGGCAGGGGTGAAGCTGAAAAACTTCTACGTTTACTATCTCCGATGTTTCCTCAGCATCACTTGGCAGGACCAGGTCACCAATTCGGAGGTCCTGGACTGTGCTAATTCCACAGCATACACTCATTGCTCAACCAACAGAGTCTGAGCTGGCTCAGGTATGGTCATGGATGGACAATGGTCATCTATCTGTAGACTGTACAGAGAATTGCCCACTGGCCAGTGAGTCATACATATGAGGTATGATAGTGCACGTTGATACTGAAGGAGATAGCCGCTGATCGCTGTTACATTGAGAGCTGTCTGTTTGAAAGGCCAAGCAGAAACAGTGTGCTGTGAAAAGGACCTAGAGAAAACAGGCCAGTGAACCATGCACTTCCTTAGCTGCTCTCTTCCTTATTGTCAAACACAGCAGAGACTGGGGCTGCACTAGGCTATGTTTAACACCAAGTTGACATGCAGGGCTGAAACCCATTACTGTCAGACAAAAACGTGCGACTTCGATTCCCTGTTAATGGTCTTACTGTTTCATCTTTTCATTAGATTTGCCAATCATGATTTTCCTTTTGTGCAAAAGACCAAGTCTGATCGCACCAAGATTTTCTAAGCTCACTGTTTAAGCAGTTCCTTAGGAGTAGATTCCAGCATTTTCCCAATGATCGGACATTAAGCTAACATTCTGTGCTCTTCTAAAAGTGCTGTTGCATTTTATTTCCATTTGCCAACTTCCAATCTGCTGGAACAGTTTGAGAAGCGAGGGAATCTAATATTGAGTGCATCCTGCCCCTAACAAAGGGAGTTCCTCGAAGCAAGGTCAGCTCTTTCTGCAGAGAACAGGAGAAAGTGAGGGAAGTGGCAAGAGGCAGTTGGGGGATTTCAGTGCAAAGTAGAGCAAAGGGGAAAGGCGGAGGGACAATCATAGAATCATACACTGCGGAAGAGATCCTTCAGCCTGTCAGTTCTGTACCACCAAAAATATAGTACTGCCTACACTAATCCCACTTGCCTGCACTAGGCCCATAACGTTGAATGTTATGACATTTCAAGCGTTCATCCAAGTACCTTTTAAAAGTTGTGAGGTTTCCTGTCTCAACTACCCTCCCAGGCAGTGTTTTCCAGACCCTGACCACTCTCTGGGTGAAAATGTTTTTCCTCAAATCCCCTCTAAACCTCCTACCTTTCACTTTAAAATGACGCCCCCTTGTTATTGATCCTTTAGACTAAGGGAACAGCTGCTTTCTATACCCCGCCATGCCCCTCATAATCTTGTACACCTCGATAGGGTCACCCCTCAACCTTCTCTGCTCTAAAGAAAACAACGCGAGCTTATCCAGTGTCTCTTCATCACTGGGATGCCCCATCCCAGGCAACATCCTGGTGAGTGAGAAGTGGCATTGAGAACATGGCACATTGGCAGCCTGATGGTCACATTGGTCACGGTGTTGCCAACAGTGATTGATTGAAAGGACTCTTGGAGGTTTCATCACATGACTTATGCTCCTCATACTACCTATTCATTTGCCTGCCACCCACCCACCCTGATAACGCACTGCCTCCCTACACCAACTGGAAAGCAATAAGACTGGGTTAGCCAACAGTCAAACAGTCGCTGCTTCTTCAAAATGAGAATCCTATTGGACTCAACATTAAGTCGTCTCTTTCTCTCCACAGATCCTCCCAGACCTGCTGAGTTCCTCCAACATTCTCTTCTGTTTATTTCAGATTTTCAGCATCCATACTCTACTGCTTTTAGAGATAACAAGGTGTAGAGCTGGATGAACACAGCAGGCCAAGCAGCATCAGAGGAGCAGGAAAGCTGACGTTTCGGGTCCAGATTCGGGTCCTGCTCCTCTGATGCTGCTTGGCCTGCTGTGTTCATTCAGCTCTACACCTTGTTATCTCAGATTCTCCAGCATCTGCAGTTCCTACTATCTCTGAATCTATTGCTTTTAGTTGTTTCTTTTCTGTGTTTTTCAATTTTTTAAAATATATATACCTGGTAAAGAGAAGCATTTAAAAAGGATTAATGTCTCTGACCCCATGACTTTTTCTCCAGGGTTGCACACGCAGGAGTGTTTAAGCGGTTGATTTTGATTTCTTGAAGACTCTGGGCCATTCCTGGAAGGTTTGCGAGTGACTGTCCGACCCCTCTTTCTGAGGTTGATAAATTCACTGGCCTGGACTGCTGGCTTGCAATGCTGAGTGAGGTCAAAAGAGTGGGTTCAATTCCTGCACCAGCTGAGGTTACTGTGAAAGGACTGTCCTCCTCACCCTCTCCCTCTCACCTGAAGCACGGTGACCCTCTGGTTAAACCATCACCAGTCAATTCTCTGTAAAGAGAAAGCAGCCTATGGTTGAGTAGGACTATGGCAACTTTACCATTCAGGTTATCTCCGCAGCTGTCTCTTTTGTAACTCGGAATATCGACCTGGCTGATCCCAGGGGTTTGTCAGCACTCAAACCCAATATTTCTTTCTCCTGTATTTAATATTCATCGCCGAGTTCCTCAACCATAATCGTCCCTCAATTACTCACCTAGTGACAGGTTTTTGCACGTTCTCCTGGTAAAACAGATACACGTTGTTTTTCATTTTAACGAGGCCTGTGTTACAAAATCGGTTGGGCCCTGGAGTTAGGGGACTGGCGAGGCGGTGGGCGTAAGGAAAATACAGTGCTTTGCCGCGATGGAAGGATCTAGATCTCTCCCCATTGTGTCAACACTTCTGATGACCTTGCTCATGGGGAGAGACGAACTGACAGGTTGCCACTCAATGAGGAATTTTGAAATGTAGGTGTGTGGTTTCAGTGACTCTCCCTCAGGGAGCTGGACTCTGACTAGGAGCAATGGCAGAACCTGATCTTCAACTGAACAAAGCTCGTCACAGGCTGGAGATCTGCTTAAAGCTGTGGCTCGATTCAAGTAATCCAGGATAGGCTGTCAGTCAGGTTCTGGCCTGTCCTTGACTACTTGGCTCAGGACCCAGCTACTACTTCGTACTCCAATCTGCCCATCGCCTTCCTGCCGTCTCTGAGGGCTGTGTGAGAGTGTCCACTGTTAATGTGTCGTTGCTGTGACTTTTGAAGGGGAATTAACGCAGACCTAGACTCAGAACAGTGTTCTTGACCCAAACCCCTATCCTCATTCATCCGTGACGCACAAAACTCCAGATCCATTAGGATCTTTCATTAGAAAATTCCTCCTCCAACCTTCCTTATGTTCTCTCACTCCCTTTTTATCCTCGTCCACTCTCCTTTCTCCTTTGCTCATTCTCCTTTTCCTTTTCTTCCACCTTTCTTCTCTTCTGTTCTCTCAACCCTCTCTTTGCTCTCTTCTCTCTATCCCCCTCTTACTTACCTCTTTTGCTGACCCCCGCCCCATAAAATATCACCACCTTCCGTCTGTTCCTAATGCTTTGTTACTGAATCGTGTATGGTGCAGTCTGAGAGAGGCCGTTCAGCCCATAGTGGCCATGCTGGCTGCACAGTACGTATTTTTCACTCTAGGCTGCCTCTGCTTAACCAGCGCCATATTGTGTTTCAGGTGTATGTTTTGAAGAGGCCCCATGTGGATGAGTTTTTGAGGAGAATGGGCGAGCTCTTTGAGTGTGTGCTATTCACAGCTAGCCTCTCCAAGGTGAGTCCTGCTCCCCACCCCATCACTCTGTGACTGTGAACTTCCCCATCCTGCCCATGTCCCTCTGGTTGCAAGGTCCCATTTTTCAGAGTTGGGTGGTTTTCTGGAATAAGGCAGGGTGGAAAAGTGATCTTTTCCTTTCGTGTAAGCCCTTTGAACAATGACCTTGTGTGAAGAGTGCTCCTCTCAGCACAAGGTGCCTCAGGAGTGTTAGTGAAATGAAATTTAATGATACATGAGATTTCAGGTGACCGCAAGTTTGGTCAAAGAAGTTGGTTTTACGATGAATGCTGAAGGCGGATGTGCAGAAGGATCTTAGGGTTCAAGTCCATAGCTCCCTGAAAGTGGCCATGCAAGTAAATAGGGTGGTAAGGAAGGCATATGGCATGCTTCCCTTTATTGTTTGGGGAATTGAGTACAAGAGTCAGGATGTCATGTTGTAGCTTTATTAGACTTTGGTTACGCCACACAGAGCATTGTGTTCCGTTCTGGTCACCACATTATAAGAAGGATATAAAGGCTTTGGAGAGGGTGCAGAAGAGGTTTACCAGGAAGCTGCCTGGATTAGAAGGTATGAGCTATGAGGAGAGGCTAGAAAAACTCAGGTTGTTTCCTCTGGAGCGGCGGAGGCTGAGGGGAGATTTAATAGAAGAATTGAGATGTATAGATAGGGTTGACGGTCAGAATCTTTTTCCCAGGGCTGAAATGTCTAAAACTAGGGGGAATACATCTAAAGTGAGACAGGGGAATGGACAGGCGAGGGGCAAGATTTTTTAGACAGAGAATGGAACGCGCTGCCCGGGGTGGTGGTGGAGGCAGATACAATAGGGGCATTTAAGGGACTTTTAGATAAGGACGGGAATAAGCAAGTAATGGAGGGATATGGACTAAGGGATTAGTTTCATTTGATCTCATGTTCGGCACAACATTGTGGGTCAAAGGGTCCATTCCTGTGCTGTACTGTTCTATGTTCTATGAGGAGAGGGAAGAGGAAGGCACAGTTAGAGAGGACATTCCCAAGAAATTTGGAGATATAGGCGCCGACGGTGTAGTGATGGAAATCCGAAGGTGGGAAAGAGACCTGAATCAGAGGAGTGCAGCAACTCTGGCAGATTGCTTTTTGTGATTAAACTGTTTAGAGATTCTGTGACATGCACGCTCTCAGGCAGGTTGGACCTGAACCTGGCCCTCCTGCCTCAGATAGGGATGCTACCGCTGCAGCACAAGGGCCCTCCTAAAGAAGGTTGGACCTGACTTCGAGAGATTACAGCAATGGTTTGATAGGTTAATTCTTGGGATGAGAGGAGAGACCTAACAGTTCCCAGAGGTAGATTCGTTGCAAAATATGACACTTTTAACCAACCTGGAGCAAGTGGGAATTGAACCCAGGCCTTCACAGTCACCATTAACAAAGGTTAACTGTATGAGCTGCTCTGGTGTGGTTCGAACCCATGCCTCCAAGGCATTCTGGATCTGTTCTACCCCTACACCAGCATCTACCTCTGGAGGAGGTTGTAAAGATAGAGATGAGAGCCTGTAGGGGGCCTAAAAGCAAAGGTGAACATTATCAATTGCAGTGTGGGTTAGATATTTGGGATTCAGGTGCATCAATCTTTAAAATGTCAAGAATAGTGCAAAAAGTAATTGAGAGCTAATGAAATGCCAGTCTTGTTTCCTGGAGGACTATAATACAAGGATGCAGAAGTTATACAAAGCCCTGGTTAGAATTCATTTGGAGTACTTTAGGATATATCAGCCTTGGATTACAAGAATGAATCCTGGACTTCAGTTGTGGGAAGAGATTGGACAAATGAGGCCTGTTTCGAATTTAGAAGGTTAAGTGGTGATCTATCGAAGTCTTCAAGATATTACCAGGAAAAGACAGGGTAGACAGAGAGAAACTATTTCCACAGGTTGGGGATTCTAGAACTAGGGGCATAGCCTGAGAATGAGGGTCAGACCGTTCAGGAGCGATGTTAGGAAGCACTTCTACACACAAAGGGTGGGAGAGGTTCGGAACTCTCTTCCACAAATGGCAGCGGATGCTGGATCAGATGTTAATTTGAAATCTGGGATCAATAATTTTTTTGTTAAAACAGCAGGATTCAGGGGTATGGGCCAAAGGCAGGTAGATGGAGACAGGCCTCACTGAAGGGGGTGAGTGGCCCACTCCTGTTTCCCATGTTAGTGAGCACAAGAATTGAGGAGTGAATTAGACACCCGTTAAGATATGGGCGGGAGAGTTTGGGGATGGGGTTTTGTTCCTTCAGTAACTCACCAGGAGCATTGGCCTTAACATTGACTCTGATTTCCGTTGCTTGTTGCAGTACGCAGATCCTGTTGCCGACCTCCTGGACAAGTGGGGAGCATTTAGGGCCCGATTATTCCGTGAATCCTGTGTCTTCCATCAAGGAAATTATGTCAAGGACCTCAGCCGGTTAGGGCGGGACTTAAACAATCTCGTCATCGTCGATAACTCTCCAGCTTCCTACGTCTTCCACCCCAACAATGCTGTAGGTAGCCTATCGTCACGGGCACATTGTCTCGAGTCGTGTCTTTGCCCCGGTGCAGGGCAGCGCTGAGGGAAAACTCTCCACAAACAAACACTTGCATTTCTGTAGCACCCTTTGAGACACGTGGTATTATTGCTGGACTATTAATCCAGACACCCAGAGTTCAAATCCCGCCACGGCAGATGGTGGAATTTGAAATCAACAAAACTCTGGAATTAAAAATCTAATGATGGCCATGAATACATTGCCAGGAAAATCCCATCTAGTTGTCCAATGCCCTTCAGGGAAGGAAATCTGCCATCCTTACCTAGTCTGGTCTATATGTGACTCCAGTCCCCCAGCCAATGTGGCTGACTCTTAACTGCCCTCTGGGCAATTAAAGATGCTGCCTGGCCAGCAACACCCTCATCCCGTGAATGAATCTAAAATCAAACCTTCCTGAAGAAACATGAATCTGTTGAATTCACTCCCCCCAGAGTGTGGTGAATGCTGGGACATTGAGTAAATTTGAGGAGGAGATCGAGTTTTAGTTAGAAACAGGTTAAAGGGTAATGAGGAGTTTGGTAGGAAAGTGGAGTTGAGGCTGAGGTGAGATGAGCCATGATTGTATCAAATGGCACAGCAGGTTCGAGGGGCTGAACAGCCTCCTTCCTGCTCACAGCTGTAGTGTTGCACAACCAACAAAATGCTGTCTGGCTGGAATAAGGTGCGAGCTGTGACACAGAATCCCAAAGGCGGCTGTGTGCACAGTAAAACCCCACATGCAGCAATCAGCTGCTTCCGGCCTGGGTGTGATATTGGTCTAACGTGAGATGAAATGATTTTGCTGGTCCTGGGGTCTAGGCTCAGGAGGCCAAGTCTAAAAGAGCCATCAGACCTTTTAGGAATGAACTGAGGGAACCCTTTCTCACAAAGTATGGTGAAAAATTGGAATTCTCTCCTGCAAATGACAATTGATGCCGGGTCAAATGTTAATGTTAAACCTGATTTGAATGTTAAAGAAATGCTACGGAAAACATTAAGGGAAATGAAGTCAGTTGTAGATTGACCGTGCTCCAGTTGAATGGTGGAACACATTCCTGAGGCTAAATGAGAGATAGTAAGAACTGCCGATGCTGGAGTTGGAGATAACATAGTGTGGAGCTGGAGGAACGCAGCAGGCCAGGCAGCATCAGAGGAGCAGGAAAGTTGATGTTTTGGCTTGGGACCCTTCTTCAGAAATTGGGGCTATTGGGTTTGGTCCAGTTCTTGTCCTGGTGCTGGTCTAGGTAGCTTTCTGTGCCTCTGTGGTACTGATGTAGCTTGGACACTCAGAAACAGAACCACTGAAACTGAGAAGCATTGTTGCTGCAGGAATTCAATTGTTCCTGAGGTTTTGTTAAATATGGTGGGTGGGGGATAACTTCTTCAGAATGAGGACCATGGTATCTTCTGTGCAAATTGTTTAACCTGTCACTTTGAAGATGCCATAGCTAAAGCACAAGTTGACCCCATTGGGGCAGAGCAAACAGGGAGGGAAGTACATACTGTAGCCAGCAAAGCCACTCGGGGGCTGAATGGCCTCTGACAGACCACAGTCTCCATAATTTGATAACAAAGCAATGGACAAAGGAGGGAACGAGGGGGTGAGGGTTGTAGGAAGAGAGTGAACTGGAAAGGAAGCAAGGGCGATACAAAAACATTTTCACCCAGCGAATAGTTGGGGTCTGGAATACACTGCCCTGGGAATGTGGGAGAGTCAGGTTCAACTGATGCATTTAAGATGGGCACTGGATGGTTATTTTAGATTGTAAATCTGTCCAGGGAAAAGAGGAAAAGGCTGTAAACTGGCGTGAGTGAACGGAGCCAGTGTAGATACAATGGGCTGAATGGTCTCCTCCTGCAGGGTTCAGAGTGAGTGGGAGTTTCTAACGGAGTGTTTACTCCCTCCAGGTACCCATTGCCTCGTGGTTTGATGACATGTCTGATAGTGAATTGCTGGACCTCATCCCTTTCTTCGAGAGACTGTCGAAGGAAGAGAATGTTTTCAAGTTGCTGCAGGAATACCAATCGAGGTAGCACTGACAGACGCCCTGAATGGACCATGTCCTGGAGTTGGACAAATCTCGATCTTCCTGCTCCCTCACCAACACACTCCCTCCCCACCCCACCCATGCTGAGGAGGGGCTGGGGAGCAACTCTGCTTTGGGTGAAGCCATGCCTCCTCTCACCCTGTGTGCCTTTTCTTCATGGAGAGGGAGAGCAGTGAACACGTGAGGGCTGCTCACCCCGACAGCAGTGGGGGGTGAGTGACACACACACAGACACATACACAGATACACAGACACATACACAGATACACAGACACATACACAGACACATACACAGACACATACACAGACACACAGACACACACACACACAGACACACACACACACAGACACACACACACACAGACACACACACACACAGACACACCCAGACACACACTTTCCCACCCGCACTGCACT